TACTAAGCCTTCCTCCAATCCTGATACTGGGTTCCTCTTCACATAGCCCAGCTTCTCTGACTTGCTCAGCATACAGATTGAATGAGTACAGTAAGAAGATACAACCCTGACAGACACCTTTCCTGATTTTAAACCATGCAGTATTTATTCCCTTGTGCTGTTCCCACAACTGCCTCTCAACCCACCCATGTACAGGTTCTACATGAGTTCAATGAAATTTCCATTCTTCTCAAACTATCTATTGTTTGTTATGATCTATACAATCAAATGCCTTTGCATTGTCAATGAAACACTAATGAACATCTTTCTGGTATTCCCTGCTTTGAGCCAAGATCCATCTGACGTCATTAACGTTATCCCCCATTCTACATCCTCTTCTGAATCCAGCCTGAACTGCTCTCTGCCAAGGTACTGCTGCAACAGTTGTTAGATTATCTTTGCCAACATTTTACTTGCATGCGATATCAATGATACCGTTCTATAATTTGCACATTCAGTTGGGTCACCTCTCTGTGGAACGAGTACACATATGGATCGCTTCCAGTCGGCTGACCAGGTGGCAGTCTTCCCAATTTCTTAGCATAGACAGGTGAATGCCTTCAGTGCCTCATCAGAGAGAGCATGTCAAGATCTTTCTTGGGGGTCAATGCTATGATAGGATATTATCTATAGGCCAACAAGAAACACCAGGTAATACAATTATTATTAAATGAACGTGCTAACCAATGATGGAGAAATTGAAGAACTCTACCCATTTCTAAATATTGATCAAACATGCAATCAAGAGGCATTGATAATTACTGGTGAGTGGAATACGGACGTTGGGAACAGAGGAAGGATCAATAGTTGCGAGCTATAGCCTTGTAACAGAAACAAAGGTGGAGATTGCACAGTAGAAGTTTGTAAGACCAATGACTTCTTTGTTGCAAATACCTCCCACCCACCCCCTAACACATAAACAATAACTATACACATGGATCAGACCAAATGGCAGACACAGAAATCAAATTGACTACATGAGCCCTGTAGCACAGTGCTTATGGGTTGGGTTGGTAACAAGGTCAGCAGTTCGAAACCACCAGCTGCTCTTTGGGAGACAAGAAGGCTTTCTACTTCTGTACAGAGCTAGTCTTGGAAGCCCACAGGGGCACTTCTACCCTGTCTCATCAGGGTCGCTGTGTGTTGGAACCGACTCGATAGCATCAAGCCTGGCTGATTTTCGCATGAGACACTGGAGAAGCTCACCTATCAGGAGCTCAAACCAGGTCAGGGGCCGACGGTGGAACACAGCATTGCTTCTAAGTAAGTGCAGTATCAAATTGAAGAAAATGAAAACAAGTCTAGGAGAGCCACCTGAGTGGGTTTCGTTCTGTTACAGTCTCACTGGGAATCCCAGCCCATCAAGGGCACCTATCCACCATCATGCTGTGTGGAGTTCAAAGTCCC